TTTTTTTTTTTTTTCACTGTCTACTTTCAGGATGTTCTCTTTTTCTCTGGCATTCTGTTGTTTCAACATCGAATCTCCAAGTGCTTATTTGCATTCATTACCCTGGAATTAATTGGGATTCCTACAAATGAAATAATACTTTGGAAAAAAATGAAAAACTGAGCCATAAAGCAATTCTGGGTGCCCCCTGATCCTCTTGGGGCAGAAATGCTAAACTCACAGCAACTTCCTCGGGCTTTTCAAAGCAAAAAATACATTGCTGTTTACAACATAATGGGGCAAGCCTAGTAAGGGTAATAACTTCCAGCAGATTCAGTTAGGATTTGCTAAGTATGTAGTAGCTGAAGTGTAGGTACTGCCTAAGAAATATATCATAGATATGGGATATATCTGCGGGAACCCCAAAAGAATAGAATTCTAGAAAATTAAAATCATCTTGGCAAAGTAAGGCAGCTAGTCAGAACAAAAGCAGATTCCTCAGCTCTTTAACAGTCATACTTACAGGGCTCATATAGCTGAATTCATCTATCATCAAAAACATATCCTTAACCCTGGTTTCTCTTTCTCTTTTGCAGCTAGGCCAGCATGAACCAAAACCTCAAGCTGGAATTCAGTAACTTTTTGGATCTCTTTCTCACTTAGCTATTATGTTTTTCTCAACTTTCCAAGTAGTTCCAGAAAAAGTTCACCATCCTCTAAATTCTCTAGTTTGGGAAAAAATACCTTAGCCTCTATAGGAGGCCTTGTGGGAGCCCTGGTGTATGAAAGCTACAGACAAATGTTAAAAAACACCAAAAAAGAATGTACTAGGATATTTCGCTTTAGACTTACCCAAAATTCAATCTGCCTAAATCTAACAATTATTGCTTTACTATAAGCTATGAGAATAGATACCTCTTTGACATTTGTTCTATTAGTCATTTTGTTAAGCTATTCTGTTTATACAAAAAAGGCCTTAATTCCCTATTATTCTTTCGATTCTCAGAATTCAGAGGCATGTAATTTCTCTTTGGGTTAAAAACAAAAGAGGAAGTTCTCTTGTTTCAACCAGCAACCCAATCCCTCATCCACAAATGCACGTTGAATTGATTCTGCATTCCTGAGTATACTTTGGCAAATAGCTCCTCAGCAGAGAGTAGTTCATAGCAGATCTTCCATCAGTGGGGCTTTTTCCTGGGTCCTATTTCATGAGAGCAGGGCTTGTTTCAAGGAAACTGTACCTAAATCACTGGCTGTGTTCCTTCCCCTTCTCTCTCCCTCCATCCTACTCACAATTGAGCCTTCTCGTCTGTTAGTTTTAAAGTGGCATCAGACAAGGGTACAACATGAAGATTGTAACTATTGATTTGTTTTCTAAAACTATGAAGGCTTCGATGGGTTTGCTTAAGAACTCAAAGTGAGCTAATATCTTAAAAAGACAAGCACCTAGACTTTTCTATTTCCAATTCTACAACACTAGACATTTGTCACTATCCTTCACTCAATAAGGGTGACACAAGTTCTGATACACAGGTTGGGATCTGTATCTTGGTCCCAATTTAGCAAAAGGAGTATTGACTGGGAATTATAATACTTATTATACTTTGTGGGATCATCACACAAGTTATTAAAATCTTCAAGATCTAAATTTTCCTACATGTAAAAGAAACATGTTGATCACAAAGCCTTAAAATTATACCCCATCATAGTTTTTCAAAAGGGAAGGGAATGGGGAAGGGGACAAAGTTCCACACATCTTACCTACCCATTTTCAGCAGCACTGACAACATAGGGCTGTTTAGAGAAGTCTCTTGCTCTTGCCAAACATGTTACTGAAGCTGAATGACCAAATAGGAGTTCTTTCGCTGAGATCTGAAAATGATGAAAGTTTTTAAACAGCTGTAAACTGTTTAAATAATAAAAATATTAGACTATATAGTATTCATAATTTTGATTAGGAAACTCTGTTATATTATGGTTTTACTGTATATAGTTTTAGGAACACTGATATATGGCATATCAAAATCCACAGAATAAACTTCACAATAAAGGCATTGTGTTGTATACATTTTTTGTGTGTTTTGGTTTGGTCTCTATCATGAAACCTACATGACTGTCAGACCTGTCTTACAACATTTAGGTTGTGAATATAAATAAGTCAGTGTTGATGCTTATTATGCATAAAATGGCCCCCAAATGATAGTAGCATATTAATGTGCAGATTTCCCAATTCAAAATGAGTTTACAAAATAATACAAGAGAAAATGTTACCCTTTTTGAAACCATCATAATACATCATTTGGCAGTAGGAATGTAAATTGATACAGCCATTTTGAAAAACAACATGGAGTTCATCAAAAAATTAAAAATAGAACTTCCATATGATCCAGCAAACCCACTACTGGGTATACAGTCAAAGGAAATGAAATCAGTATCTCAAAGAGGTATCTGCACCCACATGTTCATTGCAGCATTATTTATAACAGCCAAGATGAGAAAAAAAGCAGACTGTCCATCAATGGATGAATGGATAAAGAAAATGTGGCGTATACAGTTGTCCCTTGTATCCATGGGAGACTGGGTCCAGGACCCCCTGTGGATACCAAAATACAGAGATGTTCAAGTTCCTTATATAAAATGATGTGTATTTGCATATAACCTGTATATATCCTCTCATATACTTTAAATCATGTCTAGATTACTTGTAATAACTAATACGATGTAAATGCTATATAAATAGTTATTATACTATATTGTTTAGGGAATAATGACAAGAAAAAAAAAGTCTGTACATGTTCAGTACAGACACAACCATCTTTTTTTCCCCAAAATATTTTCAATCTGAGGTTGGTTAAATTCATGGATATGGAACCCACAGATACAAAGGGCAGACTGTATATACAATGGAATATTATTCAGCCATTAGAAAGGAAATTCTGCCATTTGTGACAACATGGATGAACCTGAAAAAAATTATGCTAAGTAAAATAAGCCAAACACAGAAAAACAAATACTGTATGATCTCACATATATGTGGGATATAAAAAGTCAAACTCATGGAAGCAGAGAGTAGACCAGTTGGTTGGCAGGGACTAGGCGTGGGGAGATACTGGTCCAAGGGTACAAACTTTGAGTTATAAGATGAATAAGTTCAGGAGATCTAATGGATAACATGGTGACTATAGTTAATAATAATGTATTGAATACTTGAAATTTGCTAAGAGAGTAGATCTTAAATGTTCTCGCCATAAAAAAAAGTATCCCCTCCTCCCTCCTGCCCCCTCCCCCTCCCCCTGCCCAACATCCAATAGATGTTATTCTTATATGTGCATTTATGTGTTGATCAGTTAATACCAATTTGATGGTGAGTACATGTGGTGCTTGTCTTTCCATTCTTGGGATACCAGGGAGGGGGGGCAAGGGCAACATACGTAACCTAAACATCTGTACCCCCATAATATGCTGAAATAAAAAAAAAAAGACACTGACAAATAGAAAAAATAAAAAAGTAACTATGCGAGGTGGTAGATGTGTTATTAACTTGATTGTGGTAATCATTTCACATTGTTTATATATATGAAATCATCACATTGTATACCTTAAATCTATATAATTTTAATTTGTAAATTATATCTCCATAAAGATGAAATAAAAAGGACTGAAATTCCATTAGTCATAGACCAAATACCAGGCCAGTTACCATGGAGGACTTTTTAGGTATCAATTTTCACTTCTGAATTTTCTATATTACCTAAAATTTTTAAAATAAAAAGATGTTTCTAATTTATATAAAAAATAGAGAAAAGATCAAAAAAAATGAGAAGGTAAGACACAAACTGTGAGAAATATTTGCAAAAGACATATCTGATAAAGGACTATTATTCAAAATATACAAAGAACTCTTACAACTCAACAATAAGAGAATGAAAAACCTTACTAAAAATAGTCTAAAATAAACTAAAACTAAAATAAACTAAACTAAAAATAAACAAAAGATTTGAGCAGACACCACACCAAAGACAATACACTAATAGCAAGTGAGCATATAAAAAGATGCTCCACATCGTATGTCATAAGGGAAGCGCAAATTAAAACAACAAGATACCATTGCACATCTATTAGAACGGCCAAAATCCAGAGCATTGACAACATCAAGGGATGTGGAGCAACAGGAACTCTCATTCATTGTTGGTAGGAATGCAAAAATACTATGGCTACTTTGGAAGAGAGCAGTTTCTTATGAAACTAAACATACTCTTACCGTAAAACCCAGTAATTGAGCTCATTGATGTTTACCCAAATAAGTTGAAAGGGTACGGCCATACAAATACCTGTACACACGTTTATAGCAGCTTTATTCATAATTGCCAAAATGTGGAAGCAACCAACATACCCTTCAGTAGGTGCATGGATGTATAAATTGTGGTACATTCATACAATGAAATATTATTCAGCACTAAAAAGCAATGAGCTATCAAACCATGAAAAGATATGGAGAAATCATAAATGCATATTACTAAGTGAAAGAAGCCAATCCGAAAAGGCTATATGATTCCAACTGTATGCCATTCTGGAAAAGGCAAAACTATAGAGACAATAAAAACACCAGTGGCTATAAAGGGCTGGGGGAAGCAGAAAATGAACAGGCGGAGCACAGAGCAGTAAAACTACTCTGTATGATATTATAACGGTGGATACATGCCATTATACATTTGTCAAAACTCATAGAATTTACAACACCAAGTGTGAATCCTAATGGAAACTATAGATTTTGTTGATAACGATGTGTAGGTTCATTGACTGTAACAAGCACACCACTCTAGTGTGGGATGTTGATAGTGGGGGAGTGTATGGGAACTCTGTAAATCCACTCAATTTTGCTGTGAACCTAGAACTGCTGTTAAAAAAAAAAAAGTCTATTAAATTTTTTAAAAATACGTTATTTGGCTTCCCGTCTCAGAAATAGCAAAATTAACTTTTCTGCATTAAAAACAAAATTTTAGCCCAGTTGCGGTGGCTCATGCCTGTAATCCTAGCACTCTGGGAGGCCGAGGTGGGAGGATTATTTGAGTTCAGGAGTCTGAGACCAGCCTGAGCAAGAGTGAGGCTCCCATCTTCTACTAAAGACAGAAAGAAATTAGCTGGACAACTAAAAATATATAGAAAAAATTAGCCGGGCATGATGGCGCATGCCTCTAGTCCCAGCTACTCGGGAGGCTGAGGCAGTAGGATCGCTTGAGCCCAGGAGTGTGAGGTTGCTGTGAGCTAGGCTGACGCCACAGCACT